GCTGCTTGGGGAGGAGGGTCCCTGGACGGTGGGAAAGCCACCAAAACCAGGCAGGAGCCAAGCTGGCCTCCTACCTCACTGGAGCGATGCCTGAGCCTTGTCTCTGCACTTCCTCCTCCACCCGTTCGCAGCTACTCCCATCCTGCCTGCAGCCTTTTGCTTTCAGTTTTCGAGGAGTCTGCTGAAAACGAGCGAATAAACAGGAAATTAAGTTACTGTGTAAGGTGGGGGCTGTGTAAGGGGCAGGGTTGTGTCTGGCGGGTTTGGGAGGCTGCTGGATTGGGCAGGGGCAGGACCGCAACGAGGAGACCACCGGGAGCATCGTCCTCCCCACCCGGCCACGTCCCTGGCCTCCTCCCAGGTAAGCATTGCTCTCACCTCGCCCCCCTTCTGCTTCCTAAATCAGGGCTTCTGAGCTCCAAAACTCCCTAAAGTGGTCTTTCTAAGACAAAGAGCTCCCCAAAATGAGTGTTTCTGAGCCAAGAGGCCTCCTAAGTTGGTATTTCTGAGTCGCAGACTTCCCTAGATTGGTATTTCTGCATGCAAAAGCTCCCTAAAATGCTGCTTCTGGTCCCAAAAGCTCCCTGAGTAGGTGTTGCTGAGCCCCAAAGCTCCCTAAATCCATGTTTCAGAGCCTAAAAGCTGCCTGCATCAGTTTTTCCAAGGCCATAAGCTCTGGCAATGTTTGTTTCTCAGGCCCAAAAGCTCCTTATATTGGAGTTTCTGTGTCCAGAAGCTGCCCAAATCACTTTCTCTGAGCCCCAGTGCCCCACACATCAGATTTTCTGAAGGTAAAAGCTCTATAAATTGGTGTTTTGGAGACCCAAAGCTCCCTGAATTGCTTTTTCTCAGTCCAAAACCCTCCAGAAATCAGTGCTTCTGAGCTGCCCAGACTGCTCTCTCCACCACCGCAGCTGTCACTCCCCCCTCATCGCTTTTTGGGGAGGGTGCTCCCCGATGCTGGGAACGCCACCAAAAGCCGGCGAGACCCTCCCTCCTGGCCAGGGTGATAGCCAGACCTTGAAATTAGATCAGCCAGCAGGGAGGAGGGAGCCGTCCCAACCTTGCCTCGAGCCCCTTTGCTTTCGCTTTCCGAGGAGTTTCCGAGAAACAGGTGAGAATACGAGAAGCGAGGAGGTTGCTGGCAGGGCAGGGGGTTGCTGAGAAGTAGAATTATCTCTGCAGGCAGGACCGTGGTGAGGAGGAGCACGGCGAGGAAGAGCACGGCAAAGATCCCAGTGCTGAGCCTCGGAGCAGCCACTCTCTCGTCTCCCTGGGTAAGTGTTGCGGCTGCGGCGGGATGAGGGGATTTTAGTCGAGAGGTATCAGCAAAAAGGGATTTTTTTGATGCACAGTTTCTAAAAGCTTGACTTTTAACGGAACTCGAGGTTTGCTCTGCTGCTGACGAGGCGGGAAAAACAGAGGGAAATAAGAACCTGAGAACAGTTTCATTTTGAATCAGATCATTTAGAGTCGAGATCGTCAAGTCCAGCCTTAGAAAGCTGAGTTGAAACCAATTTAAATTGAGTTCCACCAGGTAAAGGAGACCCTCACAATGAGTCACGGGGTTCGGAGTGGACCCTTTGCTTTTTAAACTCCTGGTGGAGCTTGACAGGGGCCAAATCCAGGCTTAGCCTCAGACTTGGTCAATGATTTATGTTTGAGGTACAAAGGGTGAAGGAAAACCGCTCATTGAGTTACTGTGTCAGTTTTTCAGGGAATGAGAAATTATGGCTCCTGCACAATTCTGAGATGGCAACAATTTAAGATTTATTGGGGTAAATCGCAAGATTGGGTTAGATGATCTCGAACAACACTCGATCATCAGCCAGTTATGAGAGCGATTGAATAAAATTGGCTGAAATCAATGCCACAAAGTCACCTAAAGCCAATTGTACCCACACAGAGAGATTCACCTACTATCAAGATTTTTTTTCCCTATTTGCCAACTTTAAAAAATTATTGATACCAAACAATGTTTGAAAACAATGTACTTGAAATGATTATGTTTGATGCCGCCTTCTTTGCTGGCAAGTCTTAATGGATGCTCGAGGAAATCCTGGAAAAAATCTTATTTTTTCTTACAAATCCTTAAAATATCTCCCCAGAGGAAGAGGTCCCAGCCCTGGGGGGAGATTCCAGGGCACAGTCTGCTGCCATCCCAGGGATCGGGGTTTAAAGGACCATGGAATGATTGACTTGGATATGTTCTTTTCCATCCTGGCCACAGCTGTTGTTGGGTGACGCTGACACCTTCCAGGGTGGGTTACGATCCCAGCAGCAGGAGTTTCAGGATGCCTTAGCCAGGGCAAGAAAATACCACATTGTCCCAGCTCACTGGGTTTGTACCGAAAACGATGCCTGGTCCTGACATCGCAGCGTGGCCCGGCGCGGACTGCGCACCCACAGCGGCATCGCTCCCCTGCGGTGACTTCTGCTCCCGAAATTGGTCTTTCTGAGCCTTAAACCCACCTCAGTTGGTGCTTCTGAGTGCAAGAGCTCCCTAAGTGGGTGTTTGGGAGCACCAAAGAGAATTGCTCTGAATTGCTGGCTTTGAGACCCAAAGCTCCCTAAATGGGTGTTTCGAAGGCCAAAAGCTCCCCAAATTGCTGATTTGGAGCCAAACAGATCTCCAGATATGTGTTTTTGAGCCCCAAAGCTCCCTAAATCGTTGTTTTTGAGCACATATGCTGCCTAAATTGGTTTTTCTTAGCACCAAAGCTCCCTTAAGTGGTGTGTCTGAGCCCAGAAAGCTCCCTAAGTCAGTGTTTTCTACCACAAGATCTCCTTAAATGGGTGGTTTTATCTCCAAAGATCCCTAAATTGCTGTTTCTGAGTTCAAAAAGCTTCTGAAATTGTTCTTCTGGAGCCTCAAAGCTCCCTAAATCGAGTTGCCTGCCCCATTTGCAGCTTTTTGGGTGCTAAAATGTCTCCCTCCTGTCCCTTCCCAGGTCTGAACCACCACGATGGAGGAGTCTGATGGCAATGGAGGGGGGGGAGGAGGAGGAGAAGGAGGAGGAGGAGGAGGAGGAGAAGAGCTCCACCCTCAGTCCCAGCCCCAGATCAGTGGCTCCGCAGAGGATGAAGTTTACTACGACTGTGTGACAGAGCTAGTGGCATCCGACACCCCCGTTCCCCAGGGAAGCAAGGACATCGGTTCCACCCCGGAGCAGGAAACGGGGGATGACGCATCCAAACCCGACGATGGAAGCTGGACGATGCTTCATGGGGAGTCAGGTACCACCGGAGTGGGGATGTGTCCTGAGGGATTCAGGGCAGGGAAAATAAGGGCCCCTTGCTCCATCACACCCATAATCCTTTTTTTTTTTTAGAGCCATCATCGACTGATCCACGGGTGGGAGACGGAGACAACCCCTGTAGGCAGGATCTGGCCCCCCAGTCCCTCAGAGGCCATGAGGTGGGTGCCTGGAGCTCCTCAGTAGCTTGAAATCAGGTTTTAGGGTCCAAGCGATTTTTATTTATCAGGCAGCTCACTGGCTCCTGTTCACGTTCTGGGTCTCAGCTGGATTGGTTGATGAGGGTATGAATCTTGAAAGAGGAAAGTAAAATTAAAAGCGAGTTTAGGGTGAGATAAACAAGTGTTCACAAGGTAAAGGAGAAGTGAGAGGAGTTAAAGGAAACAAAAGCGTGTGGAGGAAATCGCACAGGGAGGCTGTGGCAGGTCCCCAGTTAGAAAAAAAACTTAAAACCCCACAGAATTCCCCATTTCTTCTTTGTATGGTGGAGAATTATGTTAGGTGGAGCTGATCCTGGGTCAGCTTTGGGTCTTCCACCATCTTTTCTTCTCTCCCAACCTATTAACCTTCTCTGGAGTGGGGGGAGGTTGAGATACAGAGATTTTGTGCACACGCTCAAGGTGAAACCTCAAGCATCTGCCTGTTGTCAGTGCTGTTTTGGCCACAGACCAACACCCTGTGAGCTGCTGTGGAGAAAATGAACTCCACTCCTGGTCAGACTCAAGTCAATCCTCCATGGGAGAGATCAATTAGAGAGAAAAGAGCCTGTTTTAAGTAAAAAGTTGGAGTAATTAGTCCAGGCACATGCGCACATGTGAGGTTTGGGACCTGATGGGGAACATTTGGTCACCACTGGGTTGGTGGGAGGTATCTCCGGGGGTCTGGTGTTGCCAAAGGGGTCCCACACTGGTCAGGTTCTGGTCTTGAAGGAATTGTACCCTTGGCCATGACAACATCATGCTCTGAGGTGACTCCAGCGATCCTCCAAACCACTCTTTGTGGCCACCAGTAACTTCATTCTTCTTCCCAGGCTCCTGCTATCCCACCAAGAGATGAAATCCAGCTCCAGCAGAACCCAGCACACCACCATGCGTTGGTAGAGAAGGAGATTTACCAGAACACCGGCATCCATGCTCAGGGACCGTCAGGAACGCAGGAGCAGAAGCATTATGGGAGTCCAGTGAGTCCACTCCGGCTTTCAAAGCTTATGGCCAAAGCTCTTGGAGGACGAGGGTTGAGTTTTCCCTGCCAGGACAGCGTTGCTGGCCTGGGTTTTGGAGCTCAATGCTCTACAAGTGGTAGGGGCAGAAGGAGACCCTGCCCAGCCCTTTGTCTCTTTGGTCCTTTGAGCTTTGAGCTTTTGAGCTTCATTTTTTGCCTTCAGCTCTTCCCATTATTCTTTTCTCTAGGGGAAGGTCCCAGGTCACAGTGTGGGAATGGAAATGAAACACCAGGAGAACCTCAAAATCAAAGGTACTGCTGAGGGTGTTTCCTTGGTCACGTCGTCATCTCTAATGATAAATCAGATGCCAAGTCATGCTGGGAGTGGCCCTGGGTGACAGGAGCTGGTTGTGAGGTGGAAGCTCTTGGTGACACCATACCCAAAAGCCTGCTGGGCTTCCCGCAGGACCTGCCCAGGAAGGAGGACAGGGAGGAAGATATGATGTGATGGGCCATGCCAGTGGCTGTCCTTGCCCTGCTGGCCTTGATGTCCATCCCAGTCCCCAGCAGGGTTGTGCCTGAGCACTGGTGGAGCTTGGGAGCACAATAAAGATCTCACTCTTAGAGCAGGTCGGGGTTCTTCCTCCCAGAAGAACACGTCCATGCTGCAAGGAGCCCCCCTTTCCCTGGTGAACCTCCATTTCTACCTTTTCTTGGCTTGCCACCTTTTCTGGAGGTGCTAATTGATTCTTTCTCCTTGGCTGCAGATGACTGGTATGGAGAAGGCCCAGGACCTTCCAGCAGGTTGGTTGCATGGAGATGTCATTGCTGAAGGGTTTGAGATCAGATCTGGAGGGCTGGAGGTCCAGCAGCTCCACAGAGGAAGGGGCTGGGATGGAAGGAGATGCAGCTTGGGCATTATTAGGTCCCTTCTCCCCCCAAATCCCCCCAGGATGTCCTTCCGTATCCTTTCCCCACACCCAAGAGATGGACACTTGCTCCAAGACATCCAGATTTTTCTAAAACACCTTGGAGTAACCAAGAGATCTTCAACAGGGAAGGAGGTGGCTGCAGAGGGGATGTGCAACCTCTGGAAATGTCGACCAAGAGACAACTGCAGTGGATGTGAGTGGTGGAACGGGTGGGGATGGGGAAGGGGGACAGTGGCAGGAGGACACAGTGGGGACCCACCACCTCTTTTCCAACAGCTGCCAGCCCAGCTCCTACCTGTTCAGTGGACCACACCCACCAGAAGACAGGATGACCCTGGAGTTTGTTGCTGTGCTGTCGGAATCTTGTAAGATTGACGGAGGGTTCAAGATCTGTGTTGTCTTCTACAAAAAGCCTGGCCTCTGTGAAGAATTTGCCAACATGGTGGTAAAAAGGTAAAAAAAAGGCGACTGAGTTTATTCTGAGGAGGTGTTTCCGCTGTGGTTGTCCTCTGGGAGATTCAGGCTGGGGCTGAGGGACCTCGTTTGCAGGTTGCTACGGAGGCCGGACATGCACACCCTAATGGAGGTGTCCTGGTGGAGTCACAGCACTTGATGGTGGCTCCTCCATCTTCCCATCTCTCATGGAGCTGCTGTTTTGGCTGGGGCCAGGAGCTTTCAGCCCCCTGCGAGGACCTGAGCAGGGATGGTTGATTTAATTAGTCCCCTTGCTGATGAACCTGGCTATGGATTTCTCCCTGACGTTTTAAAGACCAATGATGTCTCACTGGATGAGCCAAAACTTGACAGTTGACCACCAAGGTCAACCCCAAGCCAACAAGCTCCTTCTCTTCTTTTTCCAGAGACAGAGTGATCGTGGGCAGCGCCAAGATCCCCCTTTCTCACCTGCGAGAAGGGGTCATCTTTTATAAATACGCCCTCATTAACATCCACAGCAAAGAGCGAGAGTGTCAATTAGAGCACATTTCCTTAAAGAGCTCTGACATCCCACAGGCCTTCAGAAATGCTGAATTATATCGTGTCGTGAATTTACCCAAAACAGAGATCAAAGCGGACGGTAAGTGCTCTTGTTTACCCCAGAGTCATGACCGGGCACAATGGTGACGGCCGTAGGCCGGCCCGTGTTTAACCACGGTTTATTTTCGGAGGTTTCAAGCCGCAGGTTTATGAGCTGCCCCTACAAAGAAGCTTTTTTAACTTGCAATGAAACTCATGGCTGGCATCCAAGTCATAGTGCCGGAATCCTGTCCGGAAAGCACGTGGCACCTCTTGGGCTGGAGAAATGGGCAGCTGGTCTCATGCTTTTGGGCTCAGTCAAGCTGAGTGTCTACGTCTTGTTCCCAAACTCTTACCTTTCCCCCAGGAACATGGACCTTGTTTGAACTCATCAAATGCAAGTTCCTCAAGAGCAGCTGGTTCTCCTCACACAAGCCCAACACCAAAAAGGTGTCCAAGTTGCAGAGGCACATGGAGTACCTGCAGCACGATTGCTTTGCTCACGCCACCCACTGGAAGTCTCTTGAGGATATGGAGCAGAAATTGGATAGGTACAAGGAGACCATCCAGGCCTCTCTTGGGGATGCTGAGGAGAAAAGAGAACACTTTAGTGTTCCCTTCACTTCGGCTGTGAAAGAGGTAAGCGTCCATCAAAACCTCTGGGGAGCCGTCAAAGTCACGTCCCTCACTCTGGGGGATGGCTTGGACATGAAGTTAAGAGCCTTCTCCTGCCTGGTGTATTTAGGACATAGGACATTCCTGGATGGATGTGTGGCCCTGGGAATAAATGATTTCTCACTGGGAAGGTGCCACACGAAGTGCCTCTGAGCGGCAGCATCTTCCCCTTCCCATTCTTCTCCCTGGACCAGGCTGTTTTCAGAGAAAACCTAGTGAAACAGCTTCTCCTTGTTCTTGTTGTCCAGGTGAGAGACAATATCGAAGCCTTCATACAAGCGATCATCAAGGACCTGAAGACCAAAGAAGATAAGCTTCCTAAGCTGCTGTTTGCCTTTCACACCTTGTATCGCTTTCACATCCGCCTCCCCACCGCGTCCGTCGCTGAGGCTGAGGAGTGCTTCCAGGTCATCAACTTCGTCCAAGGCACATACAAAGAGCTGAGAGGAAAAAGGTAACTTAGATCTGCCAACCTGCTCACTTGGAGCAATGGGCACTTTTAGCGGTCCTAGACTCAGCTCAGTTGTCCCCACAAGTCACTTGGGGTGTCACGTGTTATCCCAAGGGGTCTTTGAGGATGCATAAACCCAGGTTGGTGGCTTCCAGCCTTGTGACTCCATCACAGATAATCCCAGAACCTCGAAGAGCGTTCGACATCTCTGATAGTGGTTGTCCTGTCAAGGTGTCTCGATCCAAGCTCTTTCCAGGCAGGATGAGTTCTATTGCGCATTGTGGGGAAAGACACCATCCCGTGTTAGCACAGGTCTCCCACCAGCACACCAGAGGTTGGTTATGGGAAATTTGACTTTTCTTGACTTTTTTTTTGCAGCAAATATCTTCCAGCTGTGAGGCACATGCTTCTTGATACAGTCACTGATGGCACCTTGTGGATCTGGTTGGTGCCGCTGCTCTACGCGATGAACGAGAAGATGGAAGACCCCTTTCCTTCAAGTACATTGCCACCACAATCCTTCATACAGCTGAGGACGAACAAAGAAAAGCAAGGGTGGGTCTGAAAGGCTGAGGTGGAATCAGGGTACTGAACTCTCTTCAAAGCGCTTCTTGGTGGCTTCTCAAGGAGCTGCCCCTTCTCCTTGACGTGCTGTGTCCCCTGCCCTGGGGGGGTGTTGAAGGAGCATTAGTGGACCTCAAGGGAGGAGGAAGCCAGGTACCATGTGGTCTTATCCAGACAGGTGGATGGGAGCCATCCTGGGGAGGAAATGGGTTGGAAGGGACCTGCAAAGATTATCTAGTCCAGACCGCCTGCCATGGGCAGGGACATCTTCCACTAGAGCAGGTTCTTCAAAGCCTCATCCAATCTGACCTTCTGTTGACGGGGCACCCACAATATCTCCAGGCAAGCCGTTCCAGTGTCTTGCCAGCCTCATCCTAAGTCCAATCTAAATCCACCCTCTCTCAGTTTAAAACTGTTGCCCCAGCCCAGGTGTAAGACCTCACACTTGGCTTTTTGAGCTTCATGAGGTTGGCATGGACTCACTCCTCGAGCCAGTCAAGGTCAACTTGAACCCTGAGTTTTGTCCTAGTGACCTTAAAGTGGATGAATTTCCAGAAATTCCTGCTTTGCATTGTAGAGTCACTCACTATCAAAGCCCAGCTTCTCCTTCCAGCCCCCAGCCACCCTGACTGTATGTCATGGTACCATCGCAGACAACACCGACCTGCCTCCTGCTCCTCCAAAGTCCATCTGATGTTCTTGACCTGCTTTCCTAGGAAAGTCCTGAAGATGATAGAAACTCACAAGACCTTGATTGCAAGATGCCCTCCGCTGGCACAGAAGGTCTTGGGGATGGTGGCCTTGAAGAACTTGAACAAGGCCCCTTTGGATGCAATTCATCTTCCTCTCCTCTTGGAGGAATTGTACGCGCACATCATGGACATCAATCAACCCTCGTCCAGAGTGCCTGTAAGGACAACTGACTGGTGGTAGATCTTCTTCTGCTCTGGAGGAGTGTGTGGAGGGGGTGTGTTTAAATGTGGGTCAGAATGTGTTCTTGATTCCTACAGATTTTTCTGAAGGACTTCAGTGTAGAATCCCAGGATTACAGTTGAGTCCTGGGACCAGACAACAGAAAATCCCTTGAAAACTTCACGCTTCAGTGTTTAAGTGTGGAAGCTCCTCAGCCAGCGGAGCACAAGCCGCCTGACATTTGTCCTCACCGTCTTTCTGTCCTCTTTGCAGGAAGATGATTTGAATGTGGCTTTGGAAATCATCGCTTCCCGGATGGAAGACTTGTTGAAGGGCTTGTGAGTTGGGGCTTCTTGAGAGGAGAGGTGCTGCGACACCTCTGTGAAGGGCCTGGGGAGGGATGGGTGGAGCCCTGGCTGAGCACAAAGTGGGTGGCTGCCACGACTTGCCTGTTGCTTTTTTCATCTCTTGAACCCCACCATGCCTGGAGAGCATGGAGACGCACCAGGGTCATGTCCTGTGAACCTGTCCCCCTCTCCCAGCTGCAGACGGTGGATGGGGCCAAGTAGAGACCGTGAATCACAGAATAGCTTAAGTTGGAGAGGACCTTAAATATCATCTAGTTCCAAACCCCCACTGTGGGCAGGGACACTACCCACTAGACAAGGTTGCTCAAAGTCTCATCCAGCCTGGCCTTGAACACTTCCAGGGATGAGGCTTCCACACCTTCTCTGGGCAACCTGTTCCGGGGTCTCACCCCCCTTATAGTGAAGAACTCCTTCCTAATGTCTAGTCCAAATCTACCCTGCTCTAGTGAAAGCAGCCGCAAGAAGCATTTGGTCCTTTCTTGAATCCGCAGGTACCCATCAGGGTCTTCAGCGCAACCGCTGAACCCCACGGAGGATGAGGTCATGCAGTGCCTGAACATGGTGTGCCCCTTGCTGAAACATTTGTTGGAGAAGCAGACGGAGTGGCTGTCGTTCAGCTCCATGATGATAATGCTGCGGATACTTGGGCTGTTTTTCGACAAAAGGGATTTGCTACAAAAGAACAAGGTCTGTGGCTTCTGTCACGAGGTCTTAAGCCTCCACCTTGTGGCCAAGAAGAGCCCAGAGCTTCTGGCTCACTCTTCTCTTCTTCGATTTCTCAAGGAATTCCAGCAGGTTACCTCAGCAGAAAGATTTCAAGAGTTTGCAGATGCCACCTCGCTGTGGCTCGAGAGATTCTTTCACAAGGTACCCACGGACAAGAAACTCTTCCTGAGAAACATCAAGGTGAGTGATTAGACCCAGATACCAACACGGGTCATAACCCTTAGTAGATGTGGGTGTTCCTCAAGGTCACCTGATGGGTTTGGCTCTTGCTCTGTAGATGTGGCAGCAGCTGCTTTCAGTGAAGATCCTCTGCGAGGAGTGGACCACGGAGTGGCGGGGCTTGATCCTCAAGAGGTTTCAGAATTGGCTGATGAAGGTGAGTCTTGGGTACCCTCCAGCTGATGGGGGGTGATGCTTCTGGCTTTTGCCACACTTGGTGTTGTCTCAGTCACCATTTTGGTGGTGGAACTCAAGCAGGCTGATAAGGACCCAGAAAGCAGCTGCCTCTCAAGTGTTTCCTTGCTGCAGATTAACGGCCAATCCCTTGGAGATTTCTGCCTGGCTTTCCTGGAAACAGAGGAGCAGTATGACGCGGAGTTGGAGAACTACTTTGTGAATCACATCAACCAATGGATCAGAGAGGTCAAAAAAAGTGAGGTAGGAGAGCTGCCACCTCTCCTTGGGCTGTTTGGAGGCCTCTATGTCCCACTTTGCAACTCTTCCTGACCTGTCCTGGGTGAATAGAGTGGGAAAATGTCTTTCTGAAACAGCCGTGGGTCCACAAAGCCCCTAAAGAAAAGGAATTTCTCATCCTTCCAGGAACATGTGCTACAATCCTGGATGTCCAAACTCCCCAAGAAGAGCAAAAAATCTGGGAGAGTGCTTTCTGTTCTCGTGGAGAAATTTTTTTCGGAGATGAAGAGGCTGAGAAGTTGCAAAACATTTGTTAAGACCACTGGCCCTGTTCTTGCAAACATGCTGAACACTCCCATAGTCTGCAGCCTCCTTTCTACTGTCCGTGAGTGTCCCCTGAGTGTTTTTCTTGTGAGCATCTCTTGTTTCGCAGGTGAGCTAGATGGGAAGAGCAGGTCTTTTTGTGGGAACCTTCCGGTTTTGTTGGCAACACAGAACGAGAGGGTGGAAATAAAAAGTCTTCCACGCTAGAAAAATCAAGTTTCATTCCAGAAATGGAGACCACATCTTGTTTTCATTCCAGAAATTGAGAAACATCTTGATTTCTTTATCCCCTTGCAACGCTGCTTCGTCGCACAGTCGGCGAGTGTGGAGCTTGTTGAGGGGAAGGATGTGATGGAGCCAGAGCATGTCCATGGGAAGACAGTCAAATGCTAGAAGGAGATATGGTGACATCACCACTTTTGGAGGGGGTTCCATGGTTGGACAAAGCCTGGTCTGAGACCAGTGTTGGCCCTTCTTTGGTCAGGAGGTGGAGGAGAGGACAACTCGTGACTGTTGCTCCCTGCTGCAGCTTCTGGCACCATCGAAAAGACTCTGGGCTTGTTGTCTCCGTAGCTGCCCATCCCCTAGTAGTGGTTGACTGTGATGGGATTGTCCCTTCACCTTCTCTTGGCCAGAACAAAGCCACCCAGCATCCACTTCTGTGCCCAGCCCTTCCTTGAAGCCCTCCACATCCCCAGGAGCTCACTGCCCAGCCTCAGATGTATCTCCTAGGTGGTCTCCAAGGTTGTCCCCATGGTTTGTTTCAGGCAGGAGGAGATACCTGGTTTTCCCAAAGCAAATTTTTTTCCCCAAGCTGCCGGTTTTGATAGTTGAGTTAGAAAGGAACAGGTCACCATGAACTGGAAGCTGCTGGCTCTTCCTGAGGATCTGGCTTCAAAAGAAATACAGCAGAGAAGTCGCCATCTCTCTTTTCACCAAACTTCCTTTATTTTACAGGAGAATCAGAGTGCGCCATCAGTGACCGTGCAAAAGAACTCATTTCCGATGTGCACACGTTCTCCACCTTTGTGGGAAAACACGTTTTCCTGGGAGATATTCCCTGCAGTATCCTCTCTGACATCTTGAAGCATAAGGAGCAGTTTAAGGAGATGCTGTGTGCCTGCGGTAGGTTCAGAGTTCCCAACTTGCGTGTATCTTCAGAGTTACACGGTCACCAGGAGATGTATCTACTGGGTAATGTTCTAAAATGAAAAAAAAAAAAAAAGTAAAAATTATCTGCAAGGGGAGTCTGAAAAACAAGAAGTAAAAATGGAATACTTTGTTATGGAGGCGATCTTATGCAATTTGGGAAGCAGGAAGGAGTGAAAATGCTGGTTTGGGTTTTTTTAAAGTTGAAGTTTTGGGGTGTTTGTGGAATTTATTTCAAGAGTTGCAGTGATTTAGTTTCCTGTTTGCACACCTTGCCTTCAGGCCCATCACAAACTCCACCTCCACTCAATGAAAACCCAGAGGAAAGGGGGCAAATCCTCCAAATCCTGCTCTGCGAATAAGCGTTATTGACACTTTGGGCAGGTTTGCCAGCAGTGCTGCTTTGGGAAGGAGCTGTAGGCTTTCTGCAAACTGAAACACTGTTTTATTATTTTTTGGATGTCAGGGGTTATGTTCTCTCTAGCTCTTCCCTTTCCAAGGGGTTCTCTTTCATGTCTGGGTCTTTTTTTTTTCCAGACTCCTCTTTCTCCAAGTGTATAACACAGGTGCTGGAAGTCAGGCAACAGGAGTTTGAGCAACTGGAAGTGCTGAAGGAGCAAAGATACTCCTTTCTCTGCCTGTGCTGTTGCATAGAGGACATGATAAAAGGTACCTGTTGGGTTAATGGAGCTTCTTCTGTGGTTCTTGAGTGGGGTGATGTCTCCTAAAATATAGAGCCTCACAGTGGGTGGGAGGGAAACGCAATCAGGGACCCTGTTGACTTCAGGGCTTGTCTTTGTTGATGGAGAGACACATGACAGGAGTTCCTTCTTGTTGTTCCCACCTGTTTAGTGGATACAAGTACCGTGCTTAAAAGCATCATGGACAACGGAAGTTTTAAGGATCAGATGTCAGTGCGGAAGTTCTCCACCGACGGCATTCCCACCTGTTTAGTGGATACAAGTACCGTGTGTAAAAGCATCATGGACAACGGAAGTTGTAAGGATCACATGTCAGTGCGGAAGTTCTCCACCGACGGCCAGAGTGAAATGGAACCCAACAACCTTGACAACTATAGTGGCATGATGCAAAAACTTCATGTCGTGAAGACAAGCAGATGTTTCCATAGGCTGTGGAAGATGCGAGCAAAGCAAATCAAAGCCACAATCCCTGAAGGTCAAGTCCTCTCCATAGAAGAAGTTCAAGAAAAACTTTATAAGCCAGCCATCGCTGACTTTCGTCAAACCTACTTGTCCCTCAAAGACCTCTCCATCACCCTCGGAGAGGTACAGAGCCAGTTTGAGAGGGTGCTGGGAGAGAAGAAGGGGCTCCAGGAGGAGTTTCAAATCATGGAGGAAAGCGAAGGGTGTTTGGAAGGTGACTGGATGGCAGGTGTGGTGGAGAGGATTGAAAACTACCTGACCCTCTCGGAAGTGGTGAACACTGCCAAGGTGATCGATGCTCTGCGACAGATACTTCAGCTGAAGGGGGATTTCCAGATTCTCAGTGACCTGGCAAAATACGTACGTAGGCGACGCGTGGGTGTCTGTGATGGTTGTTCTTGGGAAAATCCGTGTAGACAGGTCCATGTGGTAGCTTGTAACTAAATTCTGTCACTTGTGGTTTCTTCCTCCTCGATTAACCTTGAGGGACGGGTCAAAGGAATTACTTCCAGCTGCCTCTTTCTATTCCTTGTGGAGGCCTACAAGGACGAATCCAAGAGCAGACTTGGGTTTGAGGCCAAGATCTCATCTCGTTTGGGGAGGAGGAGGGAGAACTGAGCTTCTTTTCTTCTCTTCCCAACAGACACATGTTGTTTTCTGTTTCTTTTTTTTGTGTCCAGGAAGAGGAGGAATTCAAGAAGAAGCGACTCGATTTTATGACCGAAGACTTAATGAATGTGAAAAAAATTTTGAGTGACATTCCCCAGAGAGTCTTGAACTTTTTGAGGGAACTTCTGGAATGTGCAAGGAGCGGGTTTACCTCTTGGGTCAAGACCATAATCGAAGGTGAGCTGGAAGGAACAAAGTCATCAGATACAGCAACAGTGGGAGACCACATAGTCCTTGTCGGTCCCCGCACCCAACACACCATTCCGTGAATCAGAGCAAAGAAATTCCTCAACTGTCTCTCTTATTTTTCTTTTTTCTTTACTTTGTCCCTGCAGAAAAGACACAAATCCCCGCGTTTGTGGAGGTGACATCAATTTCTGTGGGTGAAAACACCATGGATATGGACAGACTGAAGTTCTTCCGCGATGCCATGGTTGCTTCTGCCCCCATCATATACGACCTGAGTCCCACAGCTGGGTTTGAGCAGTTCTCTGCAGCTCTGTCTTGCGTCACAGAAGCCATCGCAAAAGACAGTAATCTCCCCAATAAGCTGGTGAGTCTTCAGGTCCAAAAGTCACTTGGACACTTGCTCTGAGGCCGAGTTGCTCCCATGTAGGCGTCTGGTGCCATTTCAGATGGTTTCCTCAGGACATCCACGTGGCCCTGGCAGATGTGACACGGGACCTGGACAAAGGCTGTGCTCTTTTTGGAGTGGAAGCCTGGTGGAACATCTCAAATAACCTTGTTCACTTATGTGGGCAACTGGAGGAGACCCAGCAGGTCTTGTGAATAGGAAAAAAACCAAGTGCTGGAGTTTACAGAAATAGTTGAGGTTGGAAGGGACCTGCAGGGATTTTCTAGTCCTAGTCCCCTGCTTAAATGGCGGGAGGTAGGGCAGGTAGCTCACGTGTTTTGAGCATCTCCAAGGCTGGAAGACTTCAGAACCTTCTTCAGAATTTGACAGAGAAGCTTCTGTTTAACTGAATCCCTTGTGTTTGTGCCCCAGGCTGTCACCCAGCCTTACCCTCTGCTCTCCACCAAAACCAGAGCAGAGAACAAGAGCTTCACCACATGCCAAAGCTCTGGGGCATTAGGATAGGTCCAGCGGTGGGGCTCTGTCTCGTCAGAAGCCATGGGAAACCCCATCCTCAGATGAAATGGTCACAAAAACTCCAGCCACATCAGATTTGGGGTGGGGAAGTGGTGCTCAGCATCCTTCCAGCTGGTTACGGGGTGTCCTTTGGTTCTTTTTTGGCAGAAAGATTCCTGGGACAGCAAAGAGTGGATACAGAAGCTTCACAACTTTCATGGCTCTGTGGAGCATTCATCGATCTCTCAAGCTGGAAACATCAGCAGAAATGGGATTTTTACCATCCTGAAACCTCCAAAATTCAAGGTAAAGGGTCTCCAAGACTGTTTTTTGTCCAGTTGTATTTTTTACTGTTATTGGGAGGAAAGCTCTTTCTTGAAGTCAACCTCCAGTGAGCATACCAGTAGATGTCCAGTTGAGTTTGCAACCATTACCATCAGTTTTCTGTTGAACCTTGAGCGTTTTCTGTGGAAAACATTATTTTCTTTTCTCCAGAGGAAGTGGTACAAGACAGGTAGAGTCCTGACATACGGCATTTCAACTCAGCGCTGTGTAAGAGACCGTGTGGTGATGCTGGTTGTCTCCTCTGCTTTCCAGGCTACGCTTGAAGACTGTGTCTCGGTACAACTGCAGAATGATGGTGAGAAGAGCACATCTCCAGCAGACCAGGAGGCCAAGAAATACAGTTTGTCTCAGCTCACAGAGCTCCAGAACAAGCTCATGTTGATCACCACCAAGGCTGAGAAGGGCAGAGAGGAGGCGAACCGTTTCTTGGAGGTAAGTCGCAGGGCAGCACCAATATCTGCCTGAAAAATGGTGACCATTGGGCTTGGGATTTTGCCAGAATTATTTCCAGCAGACTCATCCCTGACCTGCCGTTCGGGCCTTTCACGAGCAGATGTGTTGGTCAAGGATGACGCCCCCTTCCCAAGCCACAGGAGTGGGATTTGCTTCCCTCAGCATTGTCTCTCACTCGTCGGGTTGTCCATCACTCCGGTTAATCCTAGACTCTCTCCATGGGTCTCTTGGCCTGCTTACAGCCTGCTGGGATGCTTTTCAGGCAGCTGTCAGGGGGGCTGAAGTTCCCCAGCAGGATCAGAGCCTGTGAGCGTGGAGCTTCCCGTAACTGAAGTTAGGAGGCTTCGTCAGGCTTCTTTATCAGTCATCCTCTAGTAAGCACCAACCATGAGATTGCCTTTCTTGGCTGATTTTCACCCAGAAGCTCTTAACTTGTTCTTTTGGGCTGATTCCTTGAGGCATTTCACAGGTGTTTCCCAAGACAGCAGCAGCCTTCGGCTCTTCTCTTACTCAAAACTCCATCCCCTTCCCCTGTTAAGTCTAGTTTAAAGAAGTTCTCCTTAAGTCTGAACAGCTTCTTGGTGAAGACCCTCTTGCCCCAGTTGGTCACGTGAATCCCATCTTCTGCCAAGAGACCAAGCTTTTCAAGGGTTTGGGCTTCTCAAAGCCCAAACCTTGAGTATGGCATCAGCCACACAGCCACATGCTCCAGTCCCTTCCTCATCTTCCCTCTCCAGTAAGCCCATGTCTCTCTTGTACTGGGGACTGTACAGACCTCTAGAGGAAAGCCTGGCTCGATCGGTGCTCAGAACCTATTGAGAACTTGCTGCAGTATGTGATCCCTTTCCCTGTTGTGTGTTTGGCGTGTTACAGATACTGGAAAAAGTCAAAACGGTTGGGAAGCTGTATCTGGAGCTTCTCAGCATTGGCAACATCCTCTTCATTGACTGGAAGGCTGAAATCTACTGCAACCCCCAGAAAGATGTGAAAGTCTACACGGAGTTTGGAATTTCTGGGATCCTTGTTCAAACCACAAGACCCCTCCTGGAGGAGCTGGACAGTCTCTCTAAAGCGATGGAGCATTGCCTGGCAGAGTGGAAGAAGTACCTGGAGACTCAAAGGGACACCTACTATCATCTCAATCTGTTCACTGCACACCAGCTCTTCTATTTGTGCAGCCAGCTGGCCAGAGTCCAGAAAGGCATCGTAGAACCGCAGGTGCTCACCATGCTTTCTGCCATCAAGCATGACATTACAGCAGAAGATCTCAGAAAGGCCCTGGGGGATGCGCTGATGACTCCTCTCGACTCTGTGAAGGTGTCAG